AAGTGACAGATAAGGTTAGACATTGGAACAAACAAGATCAGTGCAGATGATGAGAACTGACTAATTCAATTTTTCTTCCTAATATCCCCAGCTATGTCCGATTCGATTAATGTCCCCTTGTGCGAAATATTACTGAGAACAACAGACAAAGTTTTGACTGGAGTTAGAGGTTACTTCAGCTCCTTTTTAAAGTCTAATTTTAATAAGCAAATTCTCCTTCTTTTGAGACTTATTCTCGAGAGGATGAAAATTCTGAAAGAACACCGCTTTTATCTCGACGCGAAAGTTTTAAATCTAGCTTTAAAGCATGACCTCTCTTAATTCAGCAATTAAATGATTGCAAAAAATTTTATTCGTAGTTTTAGTTTCTGGAGCCAAGGTACCCCCATCTATTTTCAGTATAGCAAAAAAGGAATTCTTAACCTTTTCAGTTCAGAATTCTTTGGTTCCCTTGCTGACGAGCAGGAAACATATATCACAAGAATAACAAAGGAAGATCTTCCACGGTTGCAATTCCAAATACTATAAACCTAGCGCATTGTATAGTGTTCTAAACCGTCAAACGCGTGTTCCTAATATGGCTTATTTCGTAGAAATCCGGCATTCGAATCCACTCAAGGGGGGTTCCGATCTAATCAATTTGTCTTACGCTTGAATCAACGTACAATAATCTTCCTTTAAGCTCTTACTAACCTGTAAGACAGAGTTCTTTAAGAAACCAAAACGAACTGAAACCTTGCAAGTCGAGTTTGCAGACAATGTGTATTGGAGGCAGAGGAACAAGCTAGGGCAAGTAGTTATTAGCTGATAAGTACTTAACATTGTGTTGATACAACCGATGATTGATACTTAAGTAAGACGGCATAAAAACTTCACAACATGACAGATTCTGAAGTCTGGAGTTGTATCAAAGTGTTGGGAAGTGAGGGGGCAGCTAGCTTGAGCAAACTCGCTGAGCGAAGAGTACCAGGAGTCTTAGAGTACAATAGCTTCTTGTTTTAAAATGTTCCACTGAATTGTTGTTACAACGTCTACTAACTACACCAACAACTCCAACATCCACTATTGTTGCCAAAAAGCTTAACGCTTATATTCTTATTTGGTTGTATTTTCTCAACCTTTAGAGCCGAGAACACACTTGTGCTCTATGCCGCGAGATTCTGAGAGGCACATAAGACCGCGTGAACTAGACAATCTGACATGTCTGAAGCCCTAACGGCTAAGTTAGTGTTTTCTTATCGCTGGAGGTTATCTCTAACAAGTGTGAACCTTTCGCTAGTAGAAATTCCAAAAGCTTCGTGCCGATAAAGCGCTTAAAAATAGCGTGGTATGTTTTGTAAACAATTAACCGCTGGATAGCAATTTATCCGGTGGATAGCTCTATCCAGCCTTTGAACAACCGAGGCCTGGTGGATAGCGAAAGTTTTCATTTATCTTAATAGTTTTTTTATTATGTTTTAATCAAAATTTCAGCTGTAATTAAACAGACAAGAACAATTTTTTTTTCTTTTTTTCTGCGGCGGGGATCATTCGATTATATTCTTGAAGAAAAGTGAGCGATGAGCGAAATCAGATGTTAATTTTCATGTTTACTTTATCAGAATTTGGTTCAAAAGAATTGTGTTGATGAATCAGAAAAAAATTTAACGCGCTAAAACCCGTGCAGTTAGACGAGCCAGTCAGGAAAGAGCTCACTAACCCACGTGCACAATTTTTAAAACGGCGCACCTTTTGAAATTGTCACAAGCTTCGAGAAACTCAAATTTAGCGATCACAATTTCAGCCTTTACACAGTGTTTTCTTCTTTGGAAGCCTTCTTTCGTTTCTTGTTTCGTCAAACTTAAGCGAAGCGATATGTAACATTTCTGGCAACGGACGGATGCAGGTAAGTGCTGGTTGACGCTTATGTGAGCAAGTAGAACTTTGTGAACTGAAATTTCGGAAGAGCCAGCCATGTGCAAGCTCAAGAGAGGTTCTAGGTCGTAGCTTCGTTTCATGAAATCCTTTAACTTTTTTCAGTTGCTCGTATTTCTGCCCAGAAGCTGTCAATTACTTAGCAGCAGACATAGTATAGCGTAATTTAAATTTGAAAAATCGGCTTCCTTGAAATTCTTATATGGAAGTGTTGTCGAACGGAGAGCCATTTCAAATCTTTCATCATCTTTGCTGAAATTCCGCATCGAAATATGGAGAAAGGGTAGTTTGTGCGCTTAAGTTTTCATTAGTTACAGGTCTGAAGCGAATATTATCGGGAGAAGTTGCATGAAAATCGCTTCTTAGAGAGCAAGGGTCAACCGTTCATTTTGACAAGTGAAAAATTAGGCACGCACTTGTGGCCATGATTTTGGTTTCTATTTTATCAAAACATCCCAGCACTCTAAATAATAACACTTCCAGTAATATTTTATTTAATCAAAAAAGGTTTGAAATTCTTCTGATATTTTAGACCCAAAGCCCTCATTTTCAAAGTAAGTTTTAATTTTCTGATATTTGGGACGAAAACCCTTTTGTTATCTTGTTTGCTTTTTCATAACTTCAATTCTTGTTTAAATGATTGGCTCTCATCTCTAATATTTTCCTGAGATTTCATTTGCCTGTTCGGTTGCTTCTTTTGGAGGCTTTATACGAAGCGTTCATCTGCAAACGTTTTAATTAAATTCTGCATTTAGATTCTTCAAAATCTCGCAAGGAAAATTTAAGATACGCTTCGAAGTTCACTCATCATGACCCCAGCTGAAACTGTTACATCACAATTTCGAGGGGATTTCGTTCTCAGACATTAGTCTTTTTTTTAACCCTTAAAGTTAGGAGTTTTTAGCATTTAATTTCTCCTTAAAATATCACCCCTCAATCACAAATTTAGGTCACAAGAATAAAATAATTGATCTCCAACCCACGAAGCTCATAACTGCTAATTTAAACACGTTCTTCTTAAGAAATAAAAAGAGAACAGTATTGATAATATACACTCTTATGCAAAGGTGTGAAGAATAAAGGAGAGACTCGAACTTCGAACAAAACAATTTTTCCAATCTGGTTACCCCTGAGATTGACTCTAGAAAAGGGATTTAAATTTATCTTTTATTGGCTTCAATTTTTGCCATGTTTCAGCAACAAATATTTTTTAACAAAAAAACCCTATTCAATTCTTCATACATTTGCTATAATTGTATGTTCAGAGTGTGATAATTTTTCAATGTTTTCCCTTACACTGGGCCACAATGCTTTCAAGTTTGATTTATTTCACATAAATGTATATCGGAGATTCCAGTTTTTAAACTGATATAATTTCTTTTTCACTCAGTCTTATACGACACACTCTAGTCCAAACACAAGTCAGTCCATTCTTGTCCCGTCTAGCCCAGTTCAATCCAGTGCAGTCCAGCCCAATTCAGTTCAGTAGAGTCCAGTTTACTGTGGACTTAGTCCAAACCTCAGCGTCCAGTTTCATGCGGTCCAGTCCAGCCCGGTCCAGTCCGGCCCGGTCAGTCCGTTCCATTCCTTTCCATGTGGTTCAGTCCATCATCACAAGACAAGTGCTGACTCTCGTTACCAGTGCGACTCGCATAAGGACGGGAAAGCGTGGTGAAGAAAAGAGCCAACGCCCCATTGGGTTTTTCTTCTCTTCCTTTCTGTTGCATGCGAGGAGGCTGGGAACAGATCAGTTAGAAGACGCTGATGTCCGGTCGCGCCCGGTTAGTAAAATTCTTTGTGGGTCGGAATGAATGGAGGGTTAATAAATAGTGCGCTGGTTGAACCTTGCAACCCAAATTAGAACAGAAGTTGACATACTTCAGATTCGGCACAAAATAATTCAAGTAATAATTTTAGCTAGCTTAGTTAGCGGGTCCCCTTGAGGTTGGGCGGGGTCCTCCCTCCAAATTTTTTCTTCGGGTTTTTTCTTTTAATAGAATGTTCGGCATATATTCGGCTAAGGTTCGTTTCTTTTTCGTCGCTTCCTCGGTTCGTTACAAGTCCGGCTTCGTTCATATTCGGTTCTTCATCAACAGGTCTTTCGGTCTTCGTCAACTATGCGTCGACGTCGGAGGAATTTGCGCGCGTCTCCCCGCCTAGTTACTTCATTATCGGCCAATTACAGTTTCAGTTTCACTTGATTGCAGGACGCCAGAGCACTGTGATTGAGTAAGGCTGCTGAAAGTGGTCTATATATAGGTACAATTGAAACGTCAAGCTTTACAAAAGACGAAATAAACTCAGAGAATTAATTTCATGTTAAGTTCGACGCTTGAATCATTTGAGTTCGCCCGATGTCATTCTATGAATAGTGCTTGTGGCTATGAAGATATCGTTGGAACGTATCTAAGTATAAATCTAGCGTTTTACGAGGAGCACCTGTAACTCACGCTTTTGTTTCAGAGAACAAAAGTGTTTTCGATAAGTTTTGCGGACTTTTGAAACATAAGAACCAGCCCTTTGTCAAGCTTATTTTGTTTGCATAAATTTCATGACTTGAATCCAAATGTGCATGACTATTCCTTGAATTACCTAATGATTGTGGTGCACTGTATCTAGCCCTAACCCTGCGCAATTAGGACATCACTATACGTAATCTAAAATAATTTTAAATCTGCGCAAGTGTTCCCAGACACAAACCTGAAGTATTTGTTACTTCTTTGATTTAGTTAGTTTAGATGATCACAGGCAAGATCTATAAAACTTGAAAAAACCTAGAAAGACTTTACCCACAGTTACACGCTTAACTTACCACACCTGTGCTTTGCAGGAAACAAAAAAGTCGGAAAATGGTCGCACTTTCAGTAGTAGGTAATTTTTAGTTGGGAATCACTACCAATTTATTCACTGCATATCAGCATGCTCCCTAAAATTCTGTGTAAAATGTTTTATTTACTTATTGAGTACGGCATAGATAAACAACTAATAAATTAATTTTCAATTGAGTGTCGAAAGTAACCAGATGTTGCATCAGTTTGCTTTGCTCAACCATGTGATTGGTTCAGAAATATCCGGCCGCTCTCTCAACCAATCAGAAGTAAAAATAAATACGATCGCGACTTGGCCCTGTTTTTTTTTCCCGCGCTTAAGAATGGTAAAGTTCGTATACTCTGATTTCTTATTGGTTCCTTTTGTTTCTTTTCCCATTGGAATCATGAATTTCCGGCACTCAACTGAGAATTGTTCTAAGACGAGATAATTACACTGGTATTAACTTGAATTTGAATCCCAGACTCCCCGACTGTTGAGCCACTCAGCGTGATGGGATTAGCACGCCCGTTTACCCCAAATGTGGTGGACTGGGACGACATGCTCACGGTCTTGGAGATCGGTGTGGCAAAGCTGCTGCTGCGAATCCTCTCCATGACGCTGTGAGCACGTGCCAAGCCTCCTGAAAATCCTTTTTAAGGATTCCATGTAGGAGGAAAATGACGAAACCTTGAAACGAACATGTGATCGTGAACAAGTAATGGAACACCAATGTTCCAACAGTGGCAGCTAAACCGGCGAATAACCAGTTGAGACCGAGGAGGAAAAACACGGACACCGTAGCACGGAAGTGCGACAGACGGTTGTTCTTCTCACCCATGTGAGGGATGTTGTAAATTTCCTTCATAACTGCGAGGAAAATGAAAGCGTTGACAGCCATCAAGAGGAGGACTGGGGCAAGGAATGCACCGTAGAATGCGTCTGCGTCCATCCAGCAACTGAAATGGAGACAAGCAAACTCGTTGATTCCATATGGTTGCTTTCAATCAATATGAACTAAAATGAACTAATATGATTTAGAGACGAGTTTGTAAAGGTTTTTTCCTTGAAATTATATATCGCAGGTCGTAATTTGCCTTGGTTTCGATCGTGATGTTATCGTGAACTATAACTTTTAATTCTGTCGGGATATGTATTTTTTTCAATTCCAAACCATTGCTTTATTTTGATAGGAATGGTGAAATAATTGGCAAAGTATTTCCTTTCTTACAAAACTACATGGACGGTAATGTGTAGAAATAATCCGAAGGGAATGGTTGTAATATTTTTGTTTCGTTTCACATTAGCTAAGTAGGAGTGATCCGCACACATCATATTGTGGTTATAAATCGTCTGCTGATATAAATGTTTTACTTACAGCGTTTCATTATTCTTGTCCATGACGTGGAAGCCGTAGGACTGAGGTTCAGCCAATACAGTTATCACCACAATCATGGCAGGAACAACTGCAAAGAGACAAAACAATAAAGAAAAGACCTTTGAAATGCAAGAATTTATTGAAAATCTTTAGTACAAATAAATAAGCGCCATTAAAGCGTTTATATCACAAAAAAAAAATTATTAGTTTGGACAACAACAATTTTAAATTATTTGCAAATATGAAGACGGCAAAGGTAATAAAAAAAATCACCTAAAATAAAAATGGCAATGCAGATTACATCTGATACAGACTTTCAGAAACCTTCTTTTCATCTAAAAAATTCTGTCATCGCTCTTCGAAATCTAATGGAGAAAAACCAGGTTCACCTCATCTATATTCCTCACGTTCCTAATTGATATCGTTTCGACCTCTTTGTCTCCCTCTTCTTTTTCTTTGTTTCTCTTTACCTCAAGGGTTCATATACTAAGGGTTTGCGAGATTTTGGCTCATTAAATATGACAAAGCAAAGTTTACGTACTCCATCCCACCACTCCCGCCCTGCACATGAACTCGTTTTGTGAAATAAATGTGGTGTCAAAAACTTTGACCAGGTCTTGATACAGGTTGTATGCCTCGATACTCATCCAGACAATAGAGGAGAGTAGGAAATAATGAAGAAGGGCTGCTATGGCTTTACAAACGTCCAGTGAGTCTGAGCCTGTCATGCCGTTGATACCAAATGTAAACAGCAATATGGCGGCCAGGAGGGACACACACAAATACGCTAGTATTTGGTTTTGGCGAAGGCGACGAAGCTTCCTGTCGAAGAAGATCGAAAGTTATGAGAAATAAGGGTTGAGGGAACTATATAGTGAACATTCTAAAGGAAAACATGTATTATTATTTTTTTTATCATATAAGCACCATGGGCCTTTACAGACAAGAAAAGGTAACTTTATTAATGAACGACTTTGGATTGAGAATGGCGAATGCTTTGCCATTCAAACGTCAACCCGACAGAATGGCGCAAAGGGTTAGTGACTTGTCAGCAACTGATTGGCGATATGAAACACACATAAAAAACTATCGTGATTTGACACGTGTCTGGTTACAGCTTTTCTCAGGGATGGACGTCCTTGTACTCAACTGCCTGAGTTTGTATAATGCAATCAGATTACTTGAATCGAAATAAGACCCCTTTTCTGACAAACAACTAATACTTTCAGAAATGTGCTTGAACGCCGTGCAGGCTTCACGCTTCTTTTTACAGTAGCCTTAAGCCTCATTCCAACTCATTAATCGCTATTTTATAACAATGCTCGTTTAGGACATTATGGGGATATTACCCTTTCTTCCCTTTCCCCTAAAATCAAATGAAAAGGAAGCAGGTCTGTATTAGGAATCTCTTTGATTCATAGTCTCTTGATCCTCTTTACCTTGAGAGGGTGATGGTTAAAATCGTGAAAAACAGCCCCAAAATAGATAAAGTACATCCAACGTAAGAAATGATTGACAGCGCATTCTGGTGACTCTCTGGGATGTCATCGCTTTTTCGCAAAAGTATCTTCGATTTAAAATTTCTTTCCGTCTTGAGAATATCCAGATAGTTCGTCACTTGGTTTTCGCCGAGCTCCTAAGCGGTAAGAACAAATATTTTCTTGTCAACGTATGGCCCAGAAATGAGCAATAAGTTTTGCTTCTCAATAATTTTAAGACTGTGCCTTGCCTAAATAGGTACCCTTCAGAATGCTCTAAACAAAGATAAAATGTCAGAGGTGAACGTTATCTGAGAATTACGTCAATTGAAGAATGATATAGATGATGTCCCACCTCGAAAACGAAACCTGTGTTGTTAAGCCAAACTGTGGGATACAGTTGGAAATGCACTACCACTCTGAGGTACTGCCAACAGGCATTTCGTATTCGATTTTTAAGTGAAGGAAAATCTTTGGATGGGTCCGTCATGTTTACATCCAGTTGTATCACTATGATGAAGTAGACCCCGCTGAAAGAGACAGGTTATGAATATTAAATGCATTTTAAGGAAGTATCGTTTGTCTCGCGATCTTTTGACCGCAAACTAGTGGTCTTCTTTAGGTTATGAGGTAATCTAGTAAACCCATTACTCTCTAATATCAGTATGTATATTCTCCATACTGTTCTCTACCTATTTCCCAAGGTACTGACGAGGGGAATTGTTTTAACAATTAGGAGCTTTTAACTTAGTGATCATTTTCTTTATTCTCATTATCTTAATTCTTAATGTTTGATTCAAGGAGAAACTAGATGCTAGTCATTTTTAGGGGTCAAAATGCTAAGCTTGTGAAACAAGCAATGATTTATTAATTCATGTCGTGAAACGAGCATTAGTTTTAGAATCGTCATTTGCAATGATGAAAAACCACAACCTAACTTGGTAACTTAGCGTTATTAAACACATGCTTTTCAAAACATCAAAGGAAACTAGTGAATCGACATACTTAATTACCTTTCTTCTTTGTTTTCGTCTGGTTGAAGTACTTCTTTCTCTGTTGCATTAATATCCGGCTCACCAAGTGAAGGAAGTCTGGACGATCAAAATTTCAAGATGAAATGAGAAATTTTAAGACATAAGAATTATCCATATGAATAAGGTCCATACCGCTATTTGTCCTAAGATCATACAGGAGAGAAGAGAGGAGGACTTTTAAAGACATTTTTGTATGAGTGGCAGTAATTCATTCCATCCTGGAATTCAGATTCTAACCGAACTCGTAATATTATGGGACGTAGTTTATAATTTGTCTTACCTGAAGAAAATGCCTTTAGATGTCTTGTTTAAAAGCATAGAATCTCCAAACAGGTTTAATTGGACAAAAAAGTCAAACATTTTCCAGAACTGAAACGAGAAGGTTATGGATAGGAAGATCGC